TCTCGTTGAGCACATTTCATTGTGTTCATTGTGTGTGTAAATAATTGTTGGCACCAACTTATTCAGGATTTCGATTCACGCAATATTATACTGAGCACAAGTTTGATCTCGTTAGTCCACGTATTATGCCCACAATTGTGACACACTTAATTTGACATGCTCCGTCTTGTTTTTTTTTCGGAGAGGAATAACACGTTGAGCACATTATATGATGTTCATTGTGTGTGTATTTATGTTTGGCACCGACACATCCATTTTCTGGTTATTTTATTGTCAATAAGTCGAGTTTTTTTGTTTTTATATTACTTTACTATTTTATTTGTGATTTGTTTCTTTACGTAATTGTTAGCCACATATGTACTTTAAGGATTCTTGTTTTGAACATGCAAAAACCAGTTGCCATGGTATTTTACAACCAATAGAAAACACGAACCGAATGAAGTGAATTTTAAATCCTAGGCTAAATTTGTTTGAAATTTGAGAAATATCGTTATTTTAAATTTTATTTTATGGCAACAAACACTGAATAATACAAATGCCACGTCGAATTCAGACTAGGCCATCGCTGCTCAGAGGCATATCTCAGAGATTTGTAACTACTGTTTGTTTGCTACGGAAGTGAGTCACATTCGGTTACCTGGATAACCTAACTCGCTTTTTTTTTCTTTTTTTTAAGTTCTATTAAATATTGTACCACTGAGGCATGTTTTTTTAATTTTCTCTAAGATAACACAAACCATGGAACTATAAACCATGCACAAACTAAGCATACGGAGCAGAAAGAAATATAGTTAAGACATGATTAACGATGTAAGAATTAATCTACCTGAACAAAGGGAATTAGCAAAATAAGAATTAGAAAGAAAGACACCTTCTATTGTACTGACCATGATTTGATTGTTCTATTGTTGTGCGTATACTGCCATGGCTTCTTCGTTTCTACATTGTATTTGAATAAGATTCGATTTGTTTATTTGTATTTGTAAATATTTTTCTATCAATATTTCTGTTATTTTTTTCCTAGCGTATGATTTGATATTACGAAAATGGGGACATTTTCATTTTTCGTTGGAAGGGACAGTGTCACCAATCTGATGTGGTACCCGCATACACGTATGACATGACAATTGCATTCAATTGTCTATGTCAATACGTGTTAACTTTCCCATGCTTATTACTTTAATGTTCACATTCCTACACCTATATGTAATATCTAATGTATTGTTTAAAGCCTAAACCATATTAACACTTTTATACACGCCGTGTCAAACGTCACCATGACTGTTTAGCACTCCTTATTTGGCATGTTAGTAAGTTCTAACCAATCACGTTGACTTGTGCTAGGCGTCGTAGTGACGTCACGATATCACGTGGTTTCACTTATAAATACGGGAGCTGAGGTTATACGGGAGCGGAGGTTATAGCGGAGGTTATACGGGAGGTCTGTCTCTAGGCGTGGCTGTAAAGCCATCGCCTGGAAACCAAGTTTACACTTCACTGTATTATCACTGTATCTGATGTCTCCACGAATAAATATCCTGATTGTATCACCACTACCCTCAACAGTTCAAAATATGAGTCTGTTACACAAGTAAGTGTGGCCAAACAAAGAGAAAACGTAAAAATGCCCTTGATTATGGAACAAGTCTGGTCTGGTCTAACACTGTGTTAATACAAACACTACAGCGAATCAAATCATATGCCGTGCACTAATTCGACTTTCTGTTTCTAGTATCGAGGACCAACGTCAGATTGAAAATTCGCTGGTAATCAAGAACAGTTTTCTATCAAAAAACTCAGTTCTTGGAAGAAAATCAAGCACAGTTAGAATAATAACAGATTGGACTCATGATGTACAATCGTTGCATGAAATTAACTAGTAATTTAGTGGATAGTTTTCCACAGCGAAATTGACAGATTATAGAGAGAGAGATCACCAATTCAAGTTTGACCCTCCCACTTTGATCACATACGAATACCCTTACTCAGAAACTGATTACATTGGAAAGCGGAGGTAGTTCAACCATAAAATCATAATCTCGGGGTTCACGACAAAGCCCAATGATCCTGGACGGAAATCAAGTTTGGTTAGAGCCAAATACAAAAAATATTTCATTCCAGTTTAAAATTGTGGTTATTTGTAAAAATCAAGCATTAAATCAATTGTATTTTCCTACCTCATCAAGTGTTGGTATTCCGTAATCACGTACTACTGATGTGTCACGTACAATAGTTCGAAGTGAACAACAGATATATGCACAACCACGGTTGATATAACAGTGAGATTCAGATATGTACAATGTCACGTTTGATATACACACAGTGGGATTAAGATATGTACAAGCCATGATTTATATAATCCCAGTGGGATTAAGATATGTACAAAGCAACGGTGAGATTAGAATGTGCACAATATACTGGTAGATACCAGAGTTGGAGGTTACACAATACAAGGGATTGTCTACAGAGGGCAGTGTTACTAATTATCATATGTTATTAGAGAAAACACAGAAGATGTTAGTTTTATATTTTATAAATATATTTCAGTTATGTTACGTGAATGATAAATGTTTGATAATAAACTCTATACAAAAGGAGATGTGCATTCCAACTCAAACGTAGACATTGTCAACATACAACCGCAAATACTTAATGAAAAGTTCTCACGTCCTTCAGAGGCAGTCTAATCTATTTTTAAAACAATCTGCAACGTCA